CTACCACTTTGCTCTTGCCCCTGTCCTTCCCCCTTCATTTTTTTCTCTTTTAGTCAGCAATTGAAGCATTCTCTCCTTTGCCCATAGTCTTTCTAATGTCTACATAACTATTGGTATTCTTCCATACTGTGATGACCTCTACCTTCCTTTCTGGTTTCAAATCAAGATTTTTTTTTTAAAGATTTTATTTATTTATTTGACAGAGAGAGATCACAAGTAGGCAGAGAGGCAGGCAGAGAGAGAGAGGGGGAAGCAGGCTCCCTGCTGAGCAGAGAGCCCGATGCAGGACTCAATTCCAGGACCCTGAGATCATGACCTGAGCTGAAGGCAGAGGCTTAACCCACTGAGCCACCCAAGCGCCCCTCAAATCCAGATTTTTTTTAATTGAAATTACCAGTTCCCATGCTTTTCGTTCACTTATTCATCTGCCTTTCTCATCTAGTTATTTTTTTCCAACACTTTATTATACACATTTTGCAACTTACAGAGAAGTTGAAAAGAGTTCTACTATACACATTGATGTACTTACTACTTGGAGTCCACTGTTAATATTTTACTGCATTTGGGGTGCCTGGGTGGCTCAGTTGGTTAAGTGTCTGCCTTCGGCTCAGGTCATGATCCCAGGATTCTGGCATCTAATCCTACATCAGGCTCCTTGCCCATTGGGGAATCTGCTTCTCCTCAGCTTGCTGCTCCCTCTGCTTGCTTGTGCTATCTGTCTGTAGAGAAAAAAAAAAAAGAATCAATGATAAAAAGATATGCACAGATCTTAAGTGTACCATTTAATGATTTCTCTCTTCTAAGTCAGTTGTGTTCTCATGAGAGAACTAACTCCCATTATAAGGCCACACTTCTAAAACTTGTGTGTTCATTTGGAATTTCAAAAATGGACTTTGAATGCCAGAAAGTACCTTAAAAATTTCTTTTTAATTTTTTATTATGTAAATGTGCTACATAGTGTGATGATTATAGTTAAGGTATTTTTATTTTTTTTCTAGATTTTTCCATGCTTCTGCAAATATTCTTAGAATTGCTAATGATAATCACATAACGCATGCTGCAGGAAGTAACTTGAGGATGTTTTTGTTTAGTTAAAAGTGCAAGAATTTAAAGACAGGCCAGGATTGCCCTTTTGTCTACTTCATAAACTGAATATGTAAAAGAGGTAGTTAATTCAAGACACTTCAAACATTTATGGAGTGCTTTCTAAGTACCTGAACTCACTTGAGCTCCGATTAACCATGTTGGACAGTTGTGTCTGCTCTGTAAGTGAAGAAACCAAGCCTCAGGTAGGGGAAATGGCAGTGCAGCAGTTGAACTCAGATCCTCTCACTTTAACTTTGGTCCATTGGGAACAGCTGCAGTCCCACTCGGTCTTTAGTTCAAGTGCCATTCCAGATAGTGCGATTTGCTGATGAATAAAGACCAAACGTTTTATTGCATAGACTAATGTTAACTGTAGTGATGACTGATGCAGAGGCTTATACCAATATTTTGAGTTCCCCATGATGAAATACTCAGATATAGAGAACTGCAACTATTGGGATCCAGACAGAACTCTGCAAGTGTGCTATATTTAGAATGTGACTTACTGATGCTACTTACCCATTCTATTCTCACAAAAATGAACAATATCATGATTGAAGTGCCACTTAATGTGGCAAAATGCCTATTTTTCAGAAATATATTAAGTGAGAAACTAATTGGAGAAAAGAAAGCCTTGTTGGTATATCTATTGTGGAAGGTTTCTATTTCACAACATCCTTCAAGCTACTTCCCTTCTTTCCCTTAGGTAGACAGATCCTTATTGACAAAATCTTCTGGAGAAAATCAGCTTGACATTGTTCGGGTAATGGGCCTGACAAAATTTGGGCAGTTTTGTTTTTGTCAGTGGATGTAAAGGTTTAGCTCTTAGTTTGGCCAATACCACCAAGGAAAAGCTCCAAGAGATGAACACAGCTCTTGAAGAAAAGTATTCATGAGGAATCCTCCTTGTGATAGCAACTTACTGAAAGTCCTTTAGGATCAGAAACTGGAAATAATCTGTTTCAGATCAACTTTTGAGTCTATAGCCTTATTTTTGTCATTTTGAAGATAGACTGCATAGGAGCCAAAAACCTTTTACTTTTTCTAATATTAGTAAGGATGTCTGCCTACAGAGTACAAATCATGTAATTCTTTCAAAAATATTAGATTGTTTTTTGACATAGGTAATGGTTGATTTGGCTCGTGTGCTCCTGAGAAAGGTGTTGGGACCTGGCCAATGACTCATGTAAACCTCTAGATAGTCTCTGTAGATAGGACAAGAAGGACAAGGAAGACAGAAGTTTTTCCCATTTCCTGCTTATCCTGTGCCTCTGTCTCGTTTCCTGTCATCTTTCTCTCAGGACTGGCTAGCCTGGAGCCTGTTGAAACAGTTTTGTTTGTTTGTTTTTGAGAGAGAGAGAGAGAGAGAGAGAGAGAGAGAACAAGCAGAGCAGAGGGTCAGAGAGAGAAGGAGAAGCAGATTCTCTGCTGAGCAGGGAGCCCCATGTGGGGCTCCATCCTGGGACACTGAGATCACAACCCAAGCCGAAGGCAGACACTTAACTGACTAAGCCACCCAGGAGCCCCAAAACAGTTTTGTTTTGAGGCATTTTTAAGAAAAGATCATTCTTTTTAAGTCTGTGTACTAGAAGTATCCTGGCAGATCTGAGGTTTAAGGCAGTGTTCCTTGAGGAAGAAGGAAATGGATTATGGAAAAAGAGGAGACAGAAATCCATTAGAAAGAGTGCCACCAGCAGTGGCTTCAGATAGTGTATCTCAGCCGCCTAATTTGGGTGTGATCCATTTTGGGGCCACTTTATTCTTTGAGCCTTGGATCTGGTTTATGCATCTCTCTTTCCCCAGTGTTACTGGAATGTTAGAAAATCAAAAAGAAGAAAAAGTGCAGCCATAATCCTTTCCTCCTAACGAAACCACTGTTAAACTTTTGATAAAATCTTTACTTCTTCTTCTATAATTATTCTTATGTTCCTGGCATTAGAAAATACCTTTTTTTGTTTCCTGTTTCTGTGGAATGTCTTTGCATGTGTCCTTGGAAGGCTGGCTGAAGAACGAATATTGGGTGATATTACTGTGCATCAGTTAAATTGCCACTTTGAAAGAGGTACTTTGAAAAGTACTGCATGCTGCTTTTTTCTCAGTAGGTGACTAATACTTGTATTGTACATTGTTACTATTAAGTGTATGATCTTTAAAATGGTGCTGAGGGTGAGGATGAGGGAAGACTTCTGAAGAAACAACACTGAGCTTTTCAGAAATTGTCCTGATTTGTGGCTGGGACTTCTCAGCTGCTGCTTTCAGACATAACATTCCTTCTCTTCATTTCCATTTGAAGGAGTCCTTTCTTATCATATCCAGATACATTTTCTATGGCAGAGTGAGGAACTATCATCAGTCTTCATTCTGATTGACAAACATAGCATGCTAGCTATGTGGGAATAAGAAGTGGTCAGATAAGAGGGGAATGGCCTGAATTTTCGTTGAAGACTTTTTTGGAAGAGTGAATTGATGAAGTGCTTCTGTTTTATTTTGCCTGGAATAAGTAAATTCCAACACATTAAAGTCACTTGGAGTTTTGATATAGTTCATTCTACTGGGACAAACTTACTTGAGAATTCCTTTGCGATTCACGCTTATTTTGTTAAAGCTAGGAAAAAAAAGTTTTAAGTTAATGGGTATTTTGCTAAATGAGCTGTACTTCTCAGGAATGTATATCTGCAAGAGGGAGGTCATGCAAATTGGGATGGATTTTCTTATGGGAATCTTTAATTTCAAATACCATGTGTTTGGAAGGCCAGATCATCTTTACTACCCTTATTATTTAATCCTGGCAGATGAATTTTTCTCCCCACCCCTTTTTTTTTGTAAAAATGGGTCTATTTCATAATAACAGCAACGATAATAGATCCATAGATATATTCTTAATCGATGGCCTACATTAGTTTTGTTTGTCATCGTATCTTTGGCACTTTCCACAGTACCTGGTAGTAGCAGGCACGCAGTTATTGTTACATGGACAGTGTTGGTAATTGTTATTGCAGAATAATTAATCATTTGTTATTTTATGTGGTAATAGTTTAATTGGAATTGTTTTTTAAATTACACTAAAAAGCCAATTTATCTTTGTAAGTTTAAGGTTCCGTGTTAAAATTTCTTGAATATGTTGTTTCAAAGCTTTAGAATGAATGACTTTGCTGAAATGTTTTTTGCTCTGTGATGGAAATAAGTTTTAGAAATAGCTGTAGTAATTTTAAACTGTTAAGTAGAATTATTGCTGACTGCAGTTTTTCTGAGGCTAATGTTACAACACATTCTTTTTTTTTTAAGACTTATTTATTTATTAGAAAGTGTGTCAGTGTGAGCATGGGAGCAGAGGTGGGGAGGGTAAGCAGAGGGAAGGAATCTCCAGCAGATTCCTCGCCAAGCCTGTAGCCCGAGGCCGGGCTCAATCTCACAACCCTGAGCTGAAATCAAAATTCTGTACTCAACTGACTGAACCCCAAGGCGCCCCTACAACAGATTGCTGTCTGTGGGTATAGCATGATAAGAAAGAATTGGGAGGTTTAATAATTAGTATAAATTTAAATATTCTAAAATTTGTTGGAATAATTTGATAGGAAAATGTATTTGGTGACTAATTTATATGTAAATACACAAATATAATTTTTCTAAAAGTGAATATGTAAAGGAGCTTTAAAATGGTACAAAGAGGGGCACGTGGGTGGCTTAGTGGGTTAAGCCTCTGCCTTTGGGTCATGTCATGATCTCAGGGTCCTGGGATCGAGCCCCACATCGGGCTCTCTGCCGAGCAGGGAGCCTGTTTCCCTTTCTTTCTCTGCCTGCCTCTCTGCCTACTTGTGATCTCTGTCGAAGAGATAGTCTTTAAAAAACAAATAAATAAATAAAATGGTACAAAGAGAAACATCTTAAGTAAATTCTGTTTCTGTTTATTTCAGGGCCGAACACGGTGAAATCACATTTCACAGTTAAAACACTATTAAGAAGACAATATGGGGACTCCTGGTTCTGGAAGGAAAAGGACGCCTGTAAAAGACCGATTTTCTGCAGAAGATGAAGCTTTGAGTAACATTGCCAGAGAGGTGTGTCTGGAAAACCTCCTCTCAACATTGAGTTGCACAGTTGGGAACGTAAAAGTGCTGGGGGCGGGGGAGGTATATATAGACTTTCATTTACTGAGCAGATTTTAGAATGCTTACTTGTGAATAAGATGTTGAATCTGACCTCTAAATACTGTATTAGAATAGAATATAGTTACCAGTTCTTTATTTGGATATCTGTTCCTCTTATCGAAAAATTAACTTTATATTTTATTTTTTGTGGATCACTTTGAGGTACCTGTAATGTTTTGAAATTTATAATGAATCTTTAGTATTAAAACTTACGGTAATTAGAATGTGGAAAATATGATAACTATATTATTGAAACACTCATGGGCTATACAGTTAGCATATTCCAGGAGGCACTGCATAAATGTTGATAGAAACAGTCCTTACTTGGTGTCTGCCCAGATTCAGTTATTTTAGCTGTTTTTTGAAATACTGCAGTGGAATTTTTATGTTTAACTTTCAGCTAGTACCAGAGCTTCTGGAGCATTTTTGTTTTGGTTTGTTGACAACTCAGAAGAAAGAAGAAAATGGAGAGGGTTGTCACTTATTGAATCATTGGCAACATTTCCTGTTGCATATTGGAAATTTAAGATAACTCCCAGCTGTGATTTCTTAGTGAGGTGCCAACTTTGTTTCAGACTCTGACTCTATCTGCAGCTGCAGACCTGACCATAAATTAATCTGGTACAAGAATTGGTTAGAGCATTATTAAATTATATTCTTTTTGTGAAGATTAGTCCCTCACCACTTCCTCTTTGTTATTCTTAGTAAATAGCTCATTTAGGGCTGGTGCTATTTCCTTTTGACATATTATACAGTCTCTTTTTGATCCAGCTCATTGTTACATTTTTCCTCTGGTAAGCTACTCAGTTAGCTTTTGAATTAGAAGTCAAATTCTGTAGAGGGATGATTGAAGCAAAGAAAAGTTGTCTAACAACTATTGACAAGCTTATGATACTTTAACAAAATCACTTTTAAAAAATCAAGTGAGATATTTTCAGATAAGAGGGTAAAAGATAAAATGAAGTGAAAGTGAGATACAAGGATCTTAAATATTTGCACAAATGAAGCATTTTGGAAGCCTATGTTTGGAAACATAGTTTTTTTGTTTTTTTTTTTTTTAAAGATTTTTTTATTCATTTATTTGACAGACAGAGATCACAAGTAGGCAGAGAAGCAGGCAGAGAGAGAGGAGGAGGAGGAAGCAGGCTCCCCGCTGAGCAGAGAGCCCGATGCGGGGCTCGATCCCAGAACCCTGGGATCATGACCTGAGCCGAAAGCAGAGGCTTTAAACCACTGAGCCACCCAGGCGCCCCTGGAAACATAGTTTTATTTGAAAAGTGAAACTACTCAAAGTGTTCACTTCCAAATTAGAGGGATTTACCCAGATTTCTATAAAGATAGAAAATGTTGGCACCTTCTCGGCTTTTTTGTACTAGATATTTGAACTCTTTTTGGATTTATGATGCTTTGTTTGCAAAAGTGGGTGTATTCTAAACATTTAACGCTTGAGTGCTTTCTGTGCGACAAATGCTTCTACGCATTTAAGCTGCATTAATTCATTTAATCTTCACAAAATTCCGAGATTGGTTTTATTATCTCCATTTTAACAAAGAAACCATTGCACAGAAAAGTTAAGCATCTTTCCTAAGGTCACACAGCCAGAAAATAGCAGAGCTTGGGTTCGATCACGTGAAGCCTAGCTCCAAGGTCTTAGCATTTAACTGCTTGCTGTGCTGTGCTGTTTCTCAGTATTCTCCAACTCCCCCATTAATAGTTTGTTTTTTGGTAACTATTCATGACTTTGAAAGTACTTGCCCATTTTGATTCTCACAAAAACCTTGTGAGTTAGGAAGGATATGTATTACTATTAGCCTTATTTACAGATGAGGAAACAGACAAAGCTGAGAGATAAAGGTCTAAAAGATATCAGAGCTGGGGTTCTAATTCAGCTACTTAAAACCGTTGTTTATTCTACTGTACCATACTGTTTCCAGAAGAGGCGGACTTTGGAGAGTTGTAAGTGTGGCTTTGAATCCTGCCTCAACTAGTTTTTTGTTGAGTAATTTTGTTAAGTAATTCTTACGGACTCCAGTTTCCTCATTTGTAAAATGGGAATAATATTGTCTTCATGTACTATAGGGCTGTTGTGATGATTAAAGGACACAAAGCATGTAAACCTTTATCCTAGTGTTAGGTTTGCAGTGGGCTATTTTGTTGCTTAGTAATAAGTTGGAATTGAAAGTGATACTAGAAATTTAAAAAGATATTTAAGATAGGTGTTCTAAAACGTGGTTGATCACCAGACTCCCTCAGGGAACTTTTTCAATGTGCAGAGTCCCAGGCATTTCTTGTACTTGCTAAATCGGAATCTGTGGGAGTTGAGCTCAGAAACCTGTATTTAAGTGCATGTGCGCTTGTGCATGCACACTGACACACAGACACACAAGCAGTTTTCTTCCTGGGGGATCTTGATGGCCAGTCAGATTTGGGAACCATGAAACAAATGCAGAGAAGAAAAAACAACAACACAACAACAACAACAAAAACAAAACAGAAACAAAATACAGAAGAGATCTTATCCTGGATGGTCAGTTTTTTATACCTACAGGTTGTTTTCCTTCCTGTACATTATTATTTTGCTATGAAATAACTTAGTTTAATACAGTTATTAAATAACAAGTTATAGTATAATAATAAAAGTTATTATAAAAGGATTTAAAAGGAGAGTATTTTTAATTTTTATTTCTATTTTCAGAGCTCTGAATATGAATATGCCAACTCTTCATAACCTGGTCAAAAGGCTCAGCCTAACCCTCAATATGAAAGGGCCAATTTTTATTAAGATTCAAATTATTTATTTGTGTGATGTAGTAGTTTCAAAACTAAAGTTTGAAAACTTTAGAGGAAATAGGTTTAGCAGTTTTAAAATATATTTCTTGTGATTCTTTTTTTCTTTAAAGTTTTCATAACAATTCTCAATCGTTCATTCGTACATTACATGGTTGACATTTGCACATCACCCCTAGACTTTATTTTCTCCCATATGATCATCCCTTTCACAAAAAACATGCCTGAAGAGGAAGAAACCAAACAGAACAGAACCCCCATAGTGATTAAAGAGGACAAATAGCTTAATCCCCCCTTTTAATTGTTAAATCTCAACAGTTTAGTTTGTCTTTCTCACTTCAAATTGTTTTTTTGAGGTAGACAGGGAATGCCATAAATAAAAATAACCTCTTTTTCCCTCTGCTTACTATTTGCTCAGGTTTCTTTGCTTCTCAGTTGGCCCCAAGTCAGGGAACTAGAGGGAATGTGAAGGAAAAGAAACAGAAGTCATAGATATATTCTGCAAACTGGATAATTTACATGCTAAAATACAGAACTGAATACATTATGGTTAAACATACATAACGTAAAACTTACCTTACCCATGTTTACAAGTGTAAGATTCTGTGGCCTTAAGTGCATTCATGTTGTTGTGCAACCATTATCACCACCCATCTACAGAAGTCTTCATTTTTGATGACCTGTGTACATTTATAAAAGATGTTTGGGTGTTTGAAGACTGCTCTGTGAAGTCAGGAATGTGGATGGATTTAGAAGCCCTGTCCTGTCTGTAATGGGCATGTTGTTGCTCTGTTGGGGGAGCATGGGCTATCACAGCTCTTGGAAGAGTTCAGAGGAGCTGTGTCAGAAGGGGTCACCAGCGAGTCCTCTCGGATGTCAGAGGACCAATCTGCATCCTTTTTTTTTCTTCTTGCTTGCTTGGCTTTGATTGTTCCACAGGTTTGGGGGAAATGCAATTAGAGAGTTGACTTTAAGTGAAACTTACCTGAAAGCACAAAGCGTATCAAATTGGGAACCTTTAGGCAGCTAGCTTTCCAAAGGAGAAAGATGAGGGTAGCATGGAAGCTGTTTATGCCGCCTTACTACAGGTAGTTTCGCAAATATCATGGTGAATGTTACCAGGAAAAGAAATTAAGCCTTTTGAAGGGATAGCGAACAGTCTTTTTAAGGCATCATACAAGCCTGGAATATTAATGATTTCCTTGTTTTAGAGCTGCATATATGAATGTACATCTCTCCAAATGGAAGTTATCAGAATGTTGCTTATTTTTGGACCTTATGATCTGAAAGTCCTTGTAGCTCTAAAATTTGGTGAGTTCCCTTGAGATCCAGGACCCAAAGAAATTCATGTTCATAATGTGCAGTTCTCTCAAATCTGAAGGATCAATGACAAGCATAGAAATTGATCATCTTTTATAGGAACTGGAGTTTAGCAAATGGAATGTTCAGAGACTTGTTGAGCAGAATGTTCATATAGACATAGATATAGTAGGTGCATACACCTACTAGTAATAAAGAAGAAAGGAAGCTTTTGTGGCTTTTTGACATTGGTGGCTGCTAGGGCTTTCAGATTTCATTTAAAAATATTTATTTATTTATTGAGAAAGAGAGAGAGAGAGTGCATGAGAGGGGGAGAGGGCAGAGTGGAGGGAGAGAAGGAGAATCCTCAAGTAGACTGGTATCATGGAACTGGAGATCATGACCTGAGCCAAAATCAAGAGTCACTTAACTGACTGAGCCACCCAGGCACCCCCAGATTTCATTTTTCAAAATAGCTTTATTGAGATAAATTTTATCCATTTGAAATGTACAATTCAATGGTTTTTGGTATTTTACAATGTTAATTTTTTAAAAGTTGTGATTATAATATGTATAACAAAATTTGCCATTTAAACTATGTTTTCAGACTATGGTTCAGTGGCATTCATTGCATTTACAATGTTGTGCAACCATCACCACTGTCTATTTCTAAATAGTGATGAAAATCTGTTCTTTTCATCATCCCAGACAGAAACTCTGTAACCATTAAGTAATAACTCCCATTCCCCCTCTTCCAGATCCTGGTGACTTTTAATCTGCTTTATGTCTCTATGAATTTGTCTAATTCTGAATATTCCATACAA